TTTAAAAACTCTTCGGAGAACCATTGAGGTATGGTTCCAGAACATGCAGCTCCTGTTGATGTTGTAGGATATCCGATGATGACTTCCGTCAATCAGCCATTCAGAGATTCTCTGCGCTGTAACCTTAAGCGATCAATATACCAAGAGAGTGTCTGTTCACCACCGTGAGTTGGTGTGGAATCCATGGAATCCATCCATTTGGTCATCACTCTATGATAAAGTAACCAAAGATGCATTTCGAAACCAACTTTCCTTGAACCTCGGTATCACTGATCAATATGTATTCTTTCTTTGGTGAGCTTACACGAGGTTGATAATGATATTTATTTATATTCGGCTAACGTTTCGACGTCTTCGTCTTCCTCACAGCCGATGATCCGAGTCGATGATCCGTGCTTGTTGTTCGTCTCGACGTTGCAGCTTCGCCTTCGTGTCGAGCCAGGCCTTCCTCAGTGAGCCATCTTCTCGAATGAGGCATCCTTACTCAGTGATGCCCTTTTATACACGATGCTGATGGTGGATATAATGATGTCCGGTGGTAACGACTTGTATTTCTTCCAAACACACATTGCGCACATCGTGCAGAGTCGGTGATTTTATCAGCTAGCACAAAGCGTAGTAATATCATCGACTCGGATCATCGGCTCTGAGGAAGACGAAGACGTCGAAACGTTAGCCGAATATAAATAAATATCATTATCAACCTCGTGAAAGCTCATCAAAGAAAGAATACATAACCAAAGGTGTGTAGATGGGCTGCCGAGTTCATCCGCCATTCTCATACGAGTAGTCATTCTTGGATGCCATTCAAACTCACGTTACCATCTCGAAGGATGCTAGTGTAGAATTGTAGAATTCGTGGTTTGTGCTAACGACGGCGAAACGCGAGAACTTGTGACACTGTTGAGTTATGCACGGGTCAAGTAATTCTAGTTAATCGTTGCCAATCAAACTCGGTTAATTCATTTTTTAATTAGGTGTATTCAGTTTTATGACTATTTGGAACCTTTTGTTATATTCCACAACATAGCCGAGTATAGCACTCTTAAAGGAAAAAGAAATCATTCTTCTTTCCTTGAGTATTTTTTAGTATTGATGACCAAGTGATTTTTCGATATATTTTCAGCAAGTGAAGTACTTTAGGACTCCGTTATTTTCATACTTCTATAAGAGACATGCGGGCGCGTGTAGAGCAGTGGTCGGAGGCGTTTTACAATACATACGAGATCAATCCCCGCGCCCTAGGCTCACCGAGCCCTCCTTTCATCCGAGTTCGGCAGATTGGCACCAGATTTATCTGTGACGATAGCGGCAACAGCTCGACGCATCGATGGGCCACCGCGGCTCATTATATAGGCTAAACATGCTTCCAATCACCTAAAGCGATGTTTAATGGGATCGAATGCATGGCGCATCCGTCAGGAATTGATCAACGCCAAGAGCTTTATCTTTTATGCTTTCTTATTGAAGAGACATCACACTATCTCCATAAATATATATATATATATTTATATATACACAAGTAGTTTATAGGTAGTATTATATATATATATATATATATATATATATATATATATACGTACAATTATAGTTCTTACAAAGAAATATCTGCTATCAAGAAAAAATATCTACTGTCTGCTACACATTGAACAAGTAAGCATTTGTATTCGTATACGCATATATTTCTCTATTTATATGCATAAATGGTATGGAAAGTGATAATGTTTAGTATGGAGACAACAGCTGAAGCAGACTGAAATGAGAAACTACTAAAGCTAATGAGGTAAAGGTTCGCAGCTGGGAAAGTGATGCAGAGAAGGTACGGAGGTCTTTAACATGAAATAAAAAATTCCATGAGAAGAAGCAACTAGCATATCCCAATGCTCAGAACAGTTTGAAAAATTACGGATGACGACCATAAGCGTGCTGAGATATGAACAAAACAGAACGCTATTTAGGATTCGATCCTGTGGTCACCTTTCCCAGGTGCTCATGCGTTATCCACTGCACCAACTCATGTCCCCGCTTTACTTTACTCTGAGCCAGTTCTCTATCCTAACGATACTATTAGCAACCACCCATCAACTGGAATGATCTCTGGACCATAAATCGTCATTAAAACCAGTTAAGCTGAGACTGCAATCGAAATCATCGTGTTTAACTTTTATTTGCTGCTTACTGTTTTTGATTTTTCGGGTTGACGGAGATTGCTGATAGGCTAGTTAGTCTAAAAAACTGGCTGAGAGAAGGACAAAGTAAAGGCGGCGCTTGGTGCAGTGTATAACACATGAGACCACGCAAAGGGTAATCGTGGTTTAGAAGCTCAACTGATGTGACGAATTCTGCTCACTTCTCGGCATCATCGTGATTGCATTTCACACTGTACGCTCCTATGAAAAAAGAGTAAACAGTAAATAAAAGTGAAAATACTGTGATTCCACTGAAGAAAGTTTTCTCGAACAACATTTTGTAGAAATTTTTTCGCGTGCGAGTATTTCTACGCCCTACGTTCGTGAATACCCAAGACTTTTGAGAAGCTCAAAAAGCTGTACGCGTGGATGGGTATTGATCCCGCGGATGTATTCGTAATGAGGTGAAGTTCCCGTATCGGTTTATGGGAAGTAAGAAGGCCTTCCATTTTAGTTGTATGAATAGTCCATTGTTCTCGATGCTTTCATTTGTTTCGGAAGGACATCCATTTCTTCCTGAGACTCCGACAATTGTAAGACCATTACAAACACGGCTTGCGCAACGAATACACTGCGTGATACCATCGAGTGGACGTTGATTGCCTATCGGAGGCACACTTGGTTTACCTCTTAGGTGAAAAATAACTGTCAGCCAATAGGTAGAGTGACATTTGACCTTCTCGACTTTTCTGCTGTTTCCAATCGATTACCACTTTGCTATTCGTCTAAGAGTTTCCAAAAACAAATATTTTCTGCGTATTACGTATTGAGAGCACCAGGAACAATATTAACCATAATATAGTTGATGGAAATAAAATAACAGCGGCGATAACTTTAGAGAGGTACAATAAGGGATTTAGAACTCGGCGTCTACTAATTCTATACGGAAAAGAGGGATATACATTAGATTTTATTAAGAATAGCAGAGGTACATATTTAATACATATTTGGCCTATGCAGTGAATTACGGAGGCCAATCAATGTATCAAATCAAGGCAGTGTATTTATTTTCTCTGAATTCCTGGTGCTTATTTGCCTCGGTGGATTCGTTAGCTGATAGGGAAGATCGAACCAGTATAATCTATAATCTATACCTATAATGGACTACATCTCTAATCCTACACCCATCCGAACAATAGCGTGTTATGAAAAATGGTGCACTATCACCGCGGTAAACATTTACTCCTTGATAAAAACTAGATGTAGGCTGCTTCTTTGCGGGTAACCAAAACAACGAACAAGGAACCTTTTGCCAAAAATGTTTGCCGTGTTCTGGTTTTTCATTGTGAAAGCCATCAGTCGACGCGTTGTTGCCGTTCACTGGGACAAAGAACTATGGGCAATTGAGTAGGCAAAAACTTTTAGAACGAGAATTTTCGGCTCTAGGTAGACATTTGAGGTAGAGATTATCCGAAACTAGAGAAACTCATACAGTTCATCAAAAAACCGTCGAGAAGAGAAGATCGTTGTGTCGGGCATTATGCAAGGGTCGATCGCAATTCGGGTCGAGTACGACGCGCCACGGAAGTGCACTGCTGACATCGTCCTGGTCGCCCTAGAAAACCTCATCGGAGTGTGTTTGATTAACCCGAGATGACCATCGGCTGACGTCGAATACTCATCATGAGGCACTTTCTTGAAGTTCGCTATTCTTTTGACATAACATCATATATGGTGGAATTGTTCTAATTCTGAGCAGATTTCTCAGCTCTGTTCGAGTAAACTAAGTTCAGAGAAAATGAACTATAAAACTGGTCTCCGAATCCACCACGAAAAGTAATGCTTCACCATTTCTGAGTGACAAAGAGCAAAGCAAAGTGTGAAGGCTAATCTCGAGACCAAACGATCCCATTGCACAGCATTTACATAAAATCGAAAGGGTTCTAATGATTAAAACACTCGAACTTACTACACTCTGATTTCTCTTTGAACTCACTTTACTAAATCACGTTCCACTTGTTTCTTTCTGCGTTACCTTTTACTTCCGACAAAGATCTACCGTATTACTACGGTCCGGATAGCATTTTTGAGTGTGCAACCTTGTGGTGTCCCTGAGATTTATCACACAGTGTGTCACCAAGGCTTAGGAGTTCGATATTCTCATCCAGGAATCCAGCCAAGAGAAAATCTTTTCCAGAGCTGAGGCTTGCGAATTACTTGCAGTTCTTCTTACCAAATGCGGTAAAACGAACGTCATGTGTAAATTTGTGATACCTCTGGCTTTGCAGTGAAGGAAGCTCAGTAAGTCGTGTGCATATAAGTTAGGGACAGATGAAGAGAGACAGTATAAGTGATGCAGAGCACATTTTAGTCACTTTAATTTCTTTTGTTGGTCTTATTGAAATATCCCGAAGTTTCTTTTGACGAACGCATAGTTCGAAAAGTTTTACAACAAGTGGAACTAAACGAATGCTATTTTTCTCTACACCTAAGATGAGCTTGAAATAGCTCTTCCTTGAACGAGGTGTCTTCCATTATCAAAAATGGTTGCTTTGGAAACTCCGATGGTTACCAGATGGGGTGCCAACTGCCATCTGCTCAGCCGATTGATGGAACCCGGCAACGGAAATTTTCCGTCAATCTTCACTTCTCGAAGAACAAGTAGGTGCACTACAAGTTCCATAAGGAATCCTAGCAGTTCCTCTTTTCAATGCTGTTATAAATTTAAAGTCCAAGCTGTTTCACATTAACCAAGATCAACAATGAACACTTCTAAAAGAAAGCATATTCTTAGTGTAACAGTCTTTATACACAGGATAACTGAAAATAAATGATAAATAAAGTGGTGATTTCACAACCTTGTGGCTAAGATTATCCCTTTGGTGTTCTGTCTGGGCAGACGCAATAATCGGCATCTCGACCCGGTGGTCCACGATGTCCAGGCAGTCCAGGCATTCCTGAAAATAAAGACATTGGAAAGGAACGATAGCATGCTTAAAAACTGACGTTAGCGAGTACGGTATCTTTTTGAATTGATGATTCTTGAGACATTCTAAGATCGGGTCTCATCTACGAGAAAAGAACTCAGTAAAATTAAAAAAAAGAAACTAAGTACAAAGCAAGTCCTTCAGTCCTAAACATATTCTTTATGTCGAGTTTTAATAGTGGTCCATTTGATATGTTGAAATCACCTGAAGGGGTGCATACGACGGTCAATACTTCAGGATTGTAAAAAGTATGCTAATAATTAGACAAATAAATACACGAATAGTAAGCTCCCCGATTTACAATTTTCATCTTTCTGTTCAAGAAATGGAAGGCAAACCTAATCTATCCAGCGGCTATCCATCAACTAACTTAAAATCTTACAACAAAGAAACGGTAGGTGTTTGAATGAAGCTGTTTCTTATGCGAATGCAAATTCATTTGTTAAGTTTTATCTGCTGGGGTTATGAAAGTGTTTGGCTGAGTAGATCTCTTCTCAATTTTACCTTCCAGGCTCTAAAGAAGGCATAACCGCCGAAACGTCAGCTATTGTATTCTAATAAATTCTATATTAACAACCTCGTGTCTGCTTATTGAAGAAAAAGATTGGGTTAAAACAATGGTAGAACTAGGTAACAAGGATTGTGACACTCAAGCTGTAGACTACTTATGTTTGCAGTATCTGGGCCTTGGACACTCGCCTTGGACAAATGGCCAGTGATCAAAATTACTCCGAACAAACTTCGTCCATACTACTCGTTTTTGACCAAAGCAACGTTTGAATCATAATGTAACCCTTCATCGGACGCGTGTACTACAGCGGTTAGATTTTGATCCCTGATTCGATGCAGTGCACTGGGCTACTCTGCCCTATGGGAATAGCGAACTTCACTATGGGTCGGGAAATCGATATTGGACTTTACTAAGAGGAAGGAAGCACTGAGTTGATGCATTGATGGAAGTCGTTAGTCACTATGTAGTGAAATATGTCTCGAACGACTTCTACCGTACTCAGTGGAGCCGGTGCAAGAAGCATACTTAGGAGATAGATTAACGTAAAACGCAATTTGAGACATTCATTTCAATTCTGATTCCTTGCCACTTTTACAATGCAATTTGCAATAACTTGTTTTGCCGCTAACAGTCTGTATTTCCATCCAGGTCGTTGCCAAAAAGACTCGTCAAATCTCCGAGGTCAACATGTCGTTGGTAATCCAGTGAACGATGTCGAAAAAGTTATCATTCAGCTCATATGCACATTTTCCATCGCAACTATCATGCCATAGCTTAACTGGGTTCTATGCCGATTTGCACTCTCCAGATCAACCCCGCTGAAGGGTGATTGCTGTGGCAAAAAGATCAATAGAAATAGCTGAGAGACAGGCGAAACGAAGGACCCGCATGGTGTGGTGGTGAAGTGCGCTGCTCCCCGGAAAGGACAATAGTGCGTTCGTTCCCCACCATAGACACCTGCGGTCCAGAGTTCTGCAAATATCTCAGCAACGTTGTGGTTATCATGCCATAGTTTCACCATAGTTTTTTCAAGTGGAATTATCAACAAAGCGCGCCTACTTCAGCGATTTTCTTGAGACTTTGGTTTGGAGTTTTTCAGACAATTTTCTCCATCGTCATTCAATACACTCTCATCATCTAATATTTGCCCTCATAAAGAGGCCACATAGCAATTCAACGACGCAATTAAGGTGTAAATGTCGCAACATTGCGACAAATCGAAGCAGCATAATAGAGGTTTTCTTTCGGCTTAACGGGAACGATAATTATTCTCAGTAATCATACATTGTATGTGTGGATATTTTCAGTTTATCCACAGCCCAAAAGTTTATCGTGTTAAAATTCGGTGTCTTAGCTATCCATTGGAATGGTGGAAATGAGTAGCTTTCGATCACGATGAACCTGCAGTTTCAAAGGCAGAGATTCTTAACAGAATTATAACACCAGCTAATATGTGCATATCAACATCGACGACATTCTAGCTATATTTCGACCATAAGAGCACCGCACATAAATTTAGGATTATTCCTCTAAGGATTCGGCTTTCTACATCGTTTTCGAGCAGTCGGTTGGCTAATTAAGACGACTCGTTGCCATTGCAGGAATCGCGGTCCGCCTGTAGAAATAGGGGCCACACAATACCCTCTGGTCCGAAAGAGTGCTGGTTGCTTGCCGCGAAGATCTGAGAACTTTCATTAGCACGGGAATCCTTCAATATTAAATGAAATCACGCTGGACCACCATTCAACGTGTCAACGAATCCGACAATCTCCATGGATGCTTCCAGGCAGCGAAACGTATGCAAGAAATAAATAAACTCGTATAACTTGTGAAGTCTGACCATATAAATATTTTAATACCACTAAATTACAAAAGAGACCTGATGAGTTCTGATGTAAGAGATTTAATGAAAGAATCAAGCCGAACTGCTTGAAAATGAGTGAAGAAGGCATGAAAGTGAATTAAGACACTTTTCGTTTACAGTATTTCCAGTTGGGAAATCTTAAGTCCAATAGATAGTTCACTAACTCTAGTGCACATACTAGTGAGACATGGTAGAGTACACTTCTAGAAAAGCTAACATCTTTTTGGTACTACTTATGTCAGTTCTTCAGATAATTCATTAGTCTAAAGGAGACGTGGCTCAGTATTTCATGAAAAGGATAAATTTGCTAAGTCTTCCATTTCAGTAACCATTCGATCTTATAGTGAAATAGCTGGTTTATTGAACTCCCAGAAATTCGACAACCTCTGTGAGGCTCGTACTCATCTCCGCTTAATGAATTGCAGTTCGTAATTGTATAAGGCGAGAGCACCAATTAGCGCGAGGTCATTTGCCTATTGCGACACGTGACAAAAAACAGACCGTCAGCGGCTATGGAATTCGTACATCAAATTGCTTCAACCAAAACGCGTGCTAGCAAAATAAGCGAAACATGAATTTGTGGCACGGAAGTGCTTCAAATTATAATAAAAATTCTAATACGTATACTACTAAGAAATTTGTGTGCAAGAATATATTCAAGTGCAGAGTGAAATTTCGCATCACGCTGCTTACCTAGTCCCCACATACATCACAACTTCACCAGATAAAGTTAGAAATCCGTGGCCTATCAGTAAAAGAAAACGCGATGGGAATAATTCACTGCATTCCATAGAGTACTGTTAAATAATAGGAGCACTTGACAGCTGCCCGAATTATACGAGTTCCACTGAGAGTTTTTAGCTTTTAAAAACCCACCTGGCTTTCCTAGTTCGCCTCTTCTTCCTATGCTTCCATTTGGTCCTTGAGGGCCTCGTGGACCCATCTGACCTGGCTTTCCTGGAGTTCCCAGCTTTCCCGGACTTCCCATGGGACCTATTTTACCTGGTTCACCGTCACGTCCTTTGAGACCCCTGCTTCCAGGATTTCCTCGTTTTCCCGTTGGACCTTAATGCAGAACTTTTAAAATTAAAAATACCTTTCTTTTCGCAAGTATTTAGCATGAGCTATGGGCATTGCATCTTTTACTATAACTAATATAGACTAAGAGTAGATAAACACAATTTCTCTATAACACGAATGCCTCATTGAGATATCTCCATACCGAAAGCCTAATGATTTAGCAGTGACTTTCTAATAATCAAGAAAGATATTCTTGCAAAAATGTTATATATGAAACGTTTCTATTTTACATTCAACTAAATATGAACCTAAAATATTCTAGACTAGAATACAGCAATATTGCTCTGTCCTCTACGGAATAACGAAACCCTTCTGTGATACGACGCAGGTATCCTAGATGAAGAGCCAAAGTGTATGGTGATCGTCACCTGTGATGAGTAAACTCAGCTCACTCTGAGACATTGTGGAGAGAAGTGGGTTTACACTGAGGGAATGGAAGACCTAACCCGCGGACCCCCATCGCCATGCCCACGCGCCGAGAGCCGTGGGCAGTGGATGGTTGAGTTGGCCGGAAGAGGAGAAGCGGAACCAGTGAACCCCACTACGGCGGAAAGGACGATAACCGCAGGGATTGAACTCAATTGCACAAGTCGTCCCGAAATGAACATGTAATAAACAGGTAATATAGACATGAACATCGATTCATCCGAACAACTAACAACCCTAATCGGACGCTTACGATCAAAGAGACATGGATCAATTCCGGCTTTGACAATCTTCGTCGTTTACGCGCCGACATCAAACTATGACGAAGAAGAAGTCGAAGCGTTCTATATGGACTTGGAGAGGTTCTGCAGAAAAAACCGTACATTCTTCAAGGTTATCATTAGAGATTTCAACGACAAGATTGGAGCAAGAAGAACATCTGAAAAACGTCACATTGGGAACCACAGATGAGAATGGAACGAAGAGGGTAAGCGGCTATCTGAGTTTATCATGGCGACCAAGACAATCCATGGTAACTCGCAATTCCAGAAGTCCTATCCTCAGCGCTGGACGTGGGAGTCTCCCAATGGAAAGTACCATAACGAAATAGACCACATCATAGTAAATAGAAGGTTTTACCTAACCGATGTCGCTGTTGTTCCGAAATTCTACACGGGATCAGACCAACGTCTCCTTCGTCGAAGATTCTATTTCTCGCGGAAAGGAAAAAAAGCTGCTAAATTCCAAAACCGAAGTTCCAGAACCACCGCAAACTGGGACTTAACTAACTCATTATTCGGCTGTTGGGAAGATTTCGTTGTCGATAGCATCGACGAAAAATACGATCGCCTCATTCAGCATCTTCACGTTAGCGCAATGAAAACTGGGTTCGAAAGTCACCAAGAGGCGTCTGTCTCCAAAAACACTCAAGCTGATGCGCCAGCGTGGAATCGCCCGAGCTGCACGCAACCGCGAACTAACGTCCGAACTTGCAAAACAATGCAGACAAGTGATAAAAGAAGATCTTAAAGAGAGAAGAGCAGCAGTAGTGGTCGAAGCTGCAGAGGCTGGGGAAAGAATTCGCTAAGCCCACCGAAGCTGCGCCTATTACAAGACCAAAATGATTGCACTCCGACGCCCAGACGGAACAGTTACAGCGTCCAGAAAGGCAATGGAAAAAGCTATTCACGAATACTACTCGAATCTCTTCGATATCCACGTCCACCATCCGTCATATGAAATAATGGAGGATGTATATGTTAAACCACCGGTTCTGCCTTCCGAAATCCGATATGCTATTTCGTCGGTGAAAAGTCGAACAGCACCAGGTCCGGACAGGGTAGGACCAGAACACCTGAAGAACCATCCGCCAGTCCTCGTAAACACACTGGCTTGGCTCTTCACACGTTACCTGTCTGAATGCAAGGTCCCTACTCAGTGGAAGACCAGCAGCGCCGTGCTATTGTTCAAGAAGGGTGACCAGCACGATATCGGCAACTATCGCCCAATCTGCTTACTGTCTGTCACCTACAAACTTTTCACTCGAGTCATCCTAAACAGTATTAATAGAACACCGGACGAAGGACAGCCATGTGAACAGCCAGAGTTTCGAAAGGGATTTAGTACGATGGACCACATCCACACGGTAACAGGGCTTATTGAAGTATCGTTAGCGTACAAAAGACCGCTCTGTCTCACTTTCATCGATTTACAGAAGGCCTCTGATTCAGTTGAGATAGAAGCACTTGGTAGCCCTTGATAGTCAAGGAGTCCCTACTCAGGACATAAAGATTCTTCGTGAGCTGTACAAAAATTTCTCGACCAAGTTACCACCATTCTACAACGATATTAACATTGAAGTCGAAAGAGGAATTAGGCAAGGCGATACCATCTCGCCAAAATTATCTGCTCCGTCCTCCAGAACGTCATGCAAACACTGGAATGGGATAATTTGGGAGTGAAGATCGATGGTCGGCAGTTACGCCATCTTCGCTTTGCTGATGACAACGTCCTTATAACACCAAGCATTAGTCAAGCGGAATGTATGCTTGCCGACTTTAATAAAGCCTGTAGAAAGATTGGTCTTCGACTAAATCTTACAAAAATGATGTTCATGAAGAATAGATTGGTTTCGCATGCCCCATTCACGCTCAAAGGAATGAATATCTCCGAATGCTCCAGTTATATCTATCTAGGTCTGGAAATCAATATGATGAATGACTTAGCTCCAGAGTTGAGCAGAAGGAAACGAGCGGCTTGGGGAGCTTTCAAAAGCATCGAGGATGTAGTGAAGAGGACAAAGAACACCCGTCTCCGTACCCACCTTTTCGACTCAACGGTACTTCCTGCCGTAGCGTATGCGTCAGAAACCTGGTCGCTGCGTAAGCAGGATGAAAGGTGAGTCAGCGTTATCGAACGTGCAGTCGAAAGGGCGTTGCTATGAGTATTCCGTTCCACACAAGTAAGGGATGGGATTCGAAGCTTCGGTCTGCGTCAGCGATCACAAATCAAAGATGCCTTTCTGTACGCCAAACAGTCGAAGATAAGGTGGGCCAGACACGTAATGCGTATGGATGACAACCGATGGACAAGAGCCGCTAGTGACTGGATTCCTCGGGATGTCAAACTTGCTGCAGAAAGACCACCGACCCAATGGTTAGTGTTCTTCACAAAGAGCCTTGAAGAAAGATATGATGCTCGACGAGTCCCTAGAGCGAGCAGAACCCAATGAGCTACTTTCGCACGCAACAGGGAAAATGGAAGATTTACTGGTGCCCGCTGGAGTCACTCGGCAATCAAGGAGACTACAGGTGATACAGGTGACAGTATAGACAAATGAGCCTTGGTTGTTAGGACGTGGTTATCCTATTACGAGTCATTCATATCCGCGGCACATCAAAACTAATCACTTGGCTTTGGCCGCCCGTGCGCAAAACGCCCAATGTTTATGTTTTCGGTCCTTCCTGAATAAGTTTGTCCAGCATCCAATGTGCTCTTACTAAATGCTTTACATTTGGTATAACTGTGGTTGAGTTACGTAACGTGTTTGGTCCAACTGATGTTCGACAAGCCGACCGAGCATTCCCCCAGGTTCGTTATCGACTTAGGTCGTAACTCTGTTTTAACTTCACCAAATCAACGATTCACAGATCAGTAGGAATGCCTATATATTGTTTGGACCATACGGAACTTTCGAAGTTCGTTGTCGATGCAAGTAGCAAAGTGCAGACAATGAACAGGAATGAAGAGGAGACCACGGGGATGTTATGGAGAACCACTGTCATTCACATGATATGAGTTGAGTAATTAATGTAAGTGCACGGCAATATCAGAATAAGGAGAACATTCTCTGTAGAGGGGAGAATGGTCTCTATATTTCCCAGTTCTCCTAAAAATGTAACGCTTTATATTATTTTACACAATACATTGCGTTATATTACATACGCGTATATTTACATTGTATTTTATTGCAGGGAAAACATAATAGGATTAAAAAGTGGGGAGAAAAATGACGGTTGGTTTGAAAATAGTTATGATGATTCTCTACGAGGATGGTAGTAATCTCTACAGAACAGTCAATATAAACGTCGATGATCCCAGCTAAATCAAATTTAACCCACTTAGCTCAATCCACGTAAAAACAAGGCCTTCTGAAGTAGTAGAAACTCATTCGCAACCCTTGGCGGGATAATTTCTATGAAGAATTCAAATAGTGCGCTTAACAATTAACTCGGACCTCCGTTGAAAACGGTTGACCATGCGTTAGATCACCAACTGCCATGAAATCAATTCCTTCAACGATAATCATGCCGATTGCAACAGAGTTGTGGTTTTTAACTCAAAATAAGTCATCTGTGAACAAATATAGATAGATATAAAGCAGTACCGATCTACCTTAGAGAAAGAATTCCTTAGGATGATTTTTCACAAAAACGGGCATTATCTCTGGAAATGGAGTTTTATGACACAAAAAGGCTCTGGTTATTCCGCGACATATCATTGAGGTGACATCAATTTTATCTTGGCCCAACATAGGTGACAGGCATTACATTAGCACAAGTCCTAAGGTGTTCCTTGGAAAAGAATCTCATTTTTGTGTTTGCAATTCTACAAGATTATTCTGTAACTGATATTAATTACCACTGCTGTGACTGGAAGGTCACACTGGTTCTAAATTTTACTGCTTGATTGACGGTGCAGACGCCCTTCTTAGCCTGTGCTATTTTGGTCGCTATTGCCATTCTTCCATCAGTGTCATTTTGAATTACCACTTTCCTACTGTACCTTAAACCTTTTTACGTAAGATGGTAATGGTCAGTTAGAGGGTTTCTGGGAGTAAACATCATCGTTGACTTTCAGTCTCTTGGTTTTCTTACTATTCTGGTAAAAGTATCGAACGAGAGGATTGCATTCCAAAGCGTCTTTCCTTTAAATGACGCTATTTTTAAAAGCTAACTGAAAAAGTAAAGAGGATCCACTCTGTTGGAGTAGTTCTTGTGCTTCACAGGTTCTTATTCTCTACATAATGTGATGATCCTTGCGACCACAGCGATGGTAAAACACCATGAAGAATGCTGAGCTAACACTGACATTGAATAAACTTTGCTGTTCATACCGAAAGCATTATTAGTTAAATGGGGAGGAGAAGGGGGAGTGGGGATTACGGGATAAAAATGGGTGATCTGCAAAACTCTACTCGCTATGAAGAAATCACACAGTCTTTCAATTCGTTAGTCAATTTCGAGCCTATAGACGTACGACATGGTGCAAAGCTTTTCAAACTTTTTCTTGAGAACGATTTTGGCACTGACCTTAGAATGGAAAAAATTGACCTTAGAATCGATAGAACTAGCTAAGAGACAGGCGGAACGAAGGACCCGTATGGTGTGGTGCTGAACGCGTTAGCCTCAGGTAAGGGTAATAGCGTTCTTTCCCCGCCGCAGACACCTGCGGTCCGGACTTTTGCAAATATCTCAGCATCACTGTGGTTGTACTTAGCATAACACCCTTCCGTGAAAATGTAGTGCGCAGCAAATAAAAAATTAACATTGTGTCCTTAAAATGTCGTATGTTTCCGCATGTTGTATCCTTCCGTCAAAGTCAATTCAATATCATTCCTATTGACATTTATAGATTCAATCACCACTGTTTCAAAAGAAGCTTATCGATACTAACAGATTTCCTAAATCTACATAAATTGTCGCATTAGTTCCCAATCTAAGGCGTTCTGCACTCGTATTTCAATAATTTCGTCACCTGTTCGTATTGACCCTATTCAACCGCTCCATACTGGTAGTCATTTTTTGGATTAGACGAGTGACAACTTCTATTCCTAAAGTATTTGGGAAGACGCTCCACACTAGAGAGCCGTCTGATATCTTAGAAGGATGCCGTAGTAAAAAGAGATTTACAATGAACATTACCAATTCGGCCACTTTGTCCACGGGGACCAGGTGGCCCACTTTGACCGGCACTTCCACGTTTTCCTGGGATTCCAGTGCGTCCATTCACACCCGGATATCCAGGCTTACCCTAAAGAATTTAGTAGAATCGGAAGTCAAGAAGTGTGGTTCCGTTTCCTCGCAGCCACCAGCTACCATGAAGAAATCCGCTGTGGAACTTCCGCTTATCAGCACTTTATCTCTGTTTTTATTTCGCAAACTTTCATATATCTAACTACTGAATTGTATTCAAATGGTATTAAATAACCGGTAGGTGGAATAGTGGCAGTGAGAAAGGTAGAGCAAGCGCCTAAGTGGTGCAGTCGGTAACACGTGAGCCCCGAAAAGGATGACGACGGGTTCAAATCTGGCCTAGATTGCAGGTTTTGCAAATATCTCAGCATCATTGTGGTTGCACTCCATGTCACACCCAGCCATGGAAAATAGTAATGGGCTGTTAATAAAAAACTTAACATGGTATTACTTAGGTCAATGGACCAAAGTTGCTTCATAATGCATGTCTAAAGCAAACACTTTTTATGGTTGCTGCAGTAAGAGAATTACCGAATATTTTCGAAACCATGTTATTGCTGGCTTTTAAAGCATATTTCTTGAAAGAAGGATGGAATTCTTCTTACATCGTATACATGTCACCGCGTGATTCCTGAGGCTTCAAATTCGCAAATTTCTAGTATTCGAACTTAAAACCTGTGGACCGTTTGGTCCTCCAGCGCCTGGTTTTCCTTTAGGTCCATATGGGCAGATCATGCAACCGTCCACATGGCGATACAGCAGTTCGGGTAGTACACCAGGTTCTCCTGGCACCCCAGGTGGACCATCCGCACCAGGTATTCCATCAACACCGTCTTGTCCTTAAGAAGGGCACTGATAAGAAAAATACTCAACGAATTCATAATTTACCTCGTTTTCCTGGTTTTCCACGTGGGCAGTTATTAGCGTGCTGACATTCGCAGTAATCATAGACGTGACGAGACAGACGACTCTTCTTTGCCTCGAGATGTAATTCGTTCAAGGCATTTGTTTCCAGTTCGGAGAATGCGGTCAGCTCACTTTGCAGCAAGGATCGTATTATCGATATGCGATACGACAAGAATGGCAGATAGCTGCAAAAGGATGCTAGATACAACAGGATCAACAAAGAACAAGGCCAAGTGATCATAGCATTTACATTCTACATTTTCCGTTATGAAAATTTAAATGCACGCTGTGGAATTCAAAGATTTAAAATAGCACTGGCTATTTACATGTTATTGCTTGTCCACAAACTAAACAGTACAGTGAACTCGATGAAAATTTCGCCCAACTTTTAATACATCTCAAAATTGCTTCACTTCAAATTTTCTGTTATTCTCCACTCGAAGTATCACGAGATCACCATGTATCACTACCATTCTGGAGCTAGATAGACCTATGGCAACGTCTTTGCTCTACCGCCATAAAAGTGTATATACATGTATGTTTTATTTTTTTATTTTCATTTGACCCGTCTTCACGTCTACTGTGCGGATCCCAACACTTCTCACATTCAGTTCGTTTCCTCGCATCCATTTCCACCGAAATCTTCCAACTTTACGAGTGGCTTCGATTGCTGCTTGAGGATTTTCATTTCATCTTGAATCTCGCTTTGCTGGTCGAGCGCTTGAGCCTCGAGTTCTGAGATAGCCTGGCTGGTGCGTTCCTAATGGATTGCAGAGAGTGATTTTTTTTTCAGACCAGTCCGGTACCAGTTTCCCTACTCCGGTGGGATGAGAGACTTGGTTGGCCCTGAGCGGAATCTCGTAACAACGGACACCACTACCACTGTGCTATCCGCTCACCATATATATACATATATATATATATATTTATATATATACATATATATTTGGGGCACATGTAGGTGTGGGCGATTCTGGCACATGGGCTCACCAAGGCTACCGTCCCTACGGGGTCGACCAGTGGATACCAGACCAGTTTGGAAAATAGCAGGAATGACGTCACGAATCGGTAGGGCACTGCGAGCGAGTCAATGATTGTGTAGCTCAAGTATGCATTCATGAATATCGATGCTTAATGAAGTTGAAAGCATGGCCCATCTCTCAGGGATTAATCAACGCTGTATTTGCTCTACTGTCATAAAGGTATATATATATATATATATATATATATATATGGGAAAGGAAAATGATCCTGACGCCGCTAATTACGAAGACGGCGTTAGTTCGACTCCGGGCAATGCTCATCAAGCCTCTTATCCATTTTAGATCAGAAAATTGCTATCAGAATTGTCTCGGCCCATAATACTCTCTCCAAACTACGTGGGAGCGCTATTTAAAGGCTAGCCCAGGATTGCAGTGAAAATCAACTCAACCTCCATTCAAAGGCATGCATAAGGAAACGATAACGTTTAGAAGAAAAGTAACGTCTCAAAGCGACTTCCAGCTTCGATAAAACATTGGTTGATTTGCTTGCATTTCATTTTCAATGAGGTAAACATCAGTACTGAGTGCTACCTGATAAGCGCTACTCTAGAGAAATCGGCAGCGGTGATAAAACTATGAGCTATCCTGTGCAATAAGTCTTTTAAAATTTAATGTAGAATTTGCAGCCTTACTTCTTATCCTTATTATTTAATATTGTCATTTATGGTATTACATATAATCTTTTCTTATTTGTCTGGGAAGTGTTTTAGTAATAGCGTTTTTTTCGAATGCTGCACGACTACATACCAGTGCAAAGCTTATTTTATACCGCTTTTCTCTGTATAATTGAATATATAATATAATATTTATAATTTGCGTTTATATATTTTTTTAGTATTTTTATATTTTATTTTACTATTTATTAGCATCTATCATATTTATATCGTATACATTTATTATTAGTTCCCAGGATCGACTTTCTATTAACCTCGGCATTGGAGTATGAATGCGTCGTTTTCTTGTTCAGCAATCGCGAGGTTTTTAAACAGCATACATTTGCTTCCATAGAAAAACACAATAAAATACAACACTAGCTGACGTTTCGGCAGTATCGCCTTCTTCAGAGCCGCTTTTACGTGACTTCGAATGAGGAAGTTTAGAACAGCTGTCAGTCATCAACCGTATGCGACTATAATCAGCTGTTCTAAACTTCTTCATTGGAAGTCATGAAAAAGCGGTGGGTTTTTTTCGAGAAGCTGTTGAACATGTAATTACCAAAGAGTCTTTCGTCTTTTTGTAAGTGTTATTGAAGCGTTTGGCCTAGTAGATTGTATATCAGTATAGCCTTCCAGGCTCTGAAGAAGGCGATACTGCCGAAACGTCAGCTAGCGTTGTATTGTATTGTGTTTCTCTATGGAAGTAAATGTATGCTGTTTAAAAACCTCGCGATTGCTGAACAAGAAAACGACGCATTTATTATTAGTATTTATTTATAATATTGATTATGTAATTAAATTGGTTTTTGACAAACAAAAGAGCATTTTCGACAAATTAGTTTTATGAATTCGAACTTGGACGTCAGTAGTGCAAATGGCTCGAAACAATAGTGAGATATGGGACTGAGGTAGTGTTAACGAATGTACAGTGTAAGGTTGGTTTCGAGAATTTAAACGTGACGAATTCCGACCTTAAATAAGGGTTTGGTGGAAGTAAATATACTCTGAGCTGCCTGAGAGCTTACAGAAGAACTCGGTGAAGCACCTCAACTGTTCTGGAGTGTCTAGAAAGAACTGGAAAGTCGACAACTTGATGGCGCGCGAATTGAATGAACTTCAGGAAAAAATCGCCGCTTTGCAGTAGCTCTTTCCTCGCAACAACTACGAAGTTTCGCGTCATCCACTGTACTCGACGAACCTCTCGTTTGACGGCTACCTCGTCTTCAAGTACCTCACCAACATGTTGTGCGAGAAATTCTTCAGAGACTAGATCAACGTCGAAACTGCCTTCAACGACTTCATCCCACTAGAATTCCAGAGTTTTATGCAATGGTTCAATGAAACATCGTTTTTATAGCAATGTCGTGTAAATCTATACAGGAGCAATGAGTACTAGATTAGCTTGCTAAAGAAAACCTCGTAATAGCCTCGTGTAAGTTGGGTATTCCAAAACAACTGTGCTGTTCAGCGGTCTCAAGTAAGCGTTTTGTTCTAGCCTTACTTTTATTTTCAACCCATCATTTGAAATGAAGTAAAATGAAAACCAGTTAATTCAGGCTTTCATTTCGAAAGAAATCGAATGTGAACATGAACGTGCAGGAACATCACGACGATAGGAGATGCATACGATTCAACGTTCGTTTCAGTAGATATCGTAAACGAAATTAGGGCTTAAAGATGAAGCACGAAAGCGGCAAGTCGACAATGATCATTTGAAGACGTTGGCGAAGCAAAAAAGATGTAGGAGTGTGCACAATAGCAATACTGTCGGACACCTTTTCCAAGTTCAAAGGTGGAAAAAAATCTTGAGCAAGACTTATGAAATGACTTGAAATAAAAAGTACAGGATAACCAGCTGACATCCTGGGCTCTGAAACCTACTTGCAACCAACAGAAAATGTCCAAGTACAAGGACAGAAAGTCATCAGGAAAATCCTCGAACTAGAAACCTAGGATTTAACGGCGACGGAATAAATACAATCCTGATCACGTTAGGAAAAAAAGCCGATTTTAAAGTTTTTCTTTTCGACTAACAGATTTTACCGTAAAAACAAACATTTTCTTTTTTTATTTAACTTTTTTTACTTTTTTCTGTTCTTCTTCTTCTGAGTAGACCATGTTAGGCAATCATTAAAACTACCTGTAAAGTGTTAAAACAGCGACAATCGAAAACACAGTAGCACATTGTAGAACAGCGTATTCCACCATCTGTAACGATAGTCACATAGCTCTTTGTATGAATTCATGGAAAGAAATATGATGAAATGCTTATGGAGAAGAGTCCTGATATATCTTACATTTGAAGATCTCAGTGCGAAAAAAGATTTAGTGGCATTTTGTTAATGATCTTATGACTTTCCCTAGTGTTGTTTGTTAATTTTGGTGATGCATTTGTTAATACCAGGAGTGCCGAAAAAATGACCGAAAGAGAAGAGGCGATCATTGAATAAAGAAAAATCAGTCTTTACCGTCTAAGTCAGATTCGTAAATCTGACGGAGTCGAGCAGACAAAGGATACGGAACCCCAGCGCAAATCTACTGTTCCAGAGATTAGACCGTAGGATGAGTGACGCATGTGGAATTGAGGAACCGGTAACGAAACAGGTGAATCTTGTCGGGGAAATTCATCGATATCTGCCTCCGCCCGTCGTCTATTCTTAAAATTTATGTTTCGTTCATCTTTTTTGGATTTTCTCCAAGGCTGTTTGACTGCTCCACTTCATCCCAAACGATTTTTAAATGGAATCGTACAATGAAGCGGTCACCGTTTCACAGAAAGTATCTTCAGGTAGTGAATGTCTATGCAAGGATTGGTTGGATTGACTGGTCTCCCTGGAATATTCCGCGCACATCATGTGAAAAGACAATTCCAACGGTTGATAATCGCCCTATGCTCGTGCTCGAACAGTGCTCGCCTTAGGGTTGTCTCCACATTTATGGATAGCATTTCACTGCTTGATTGCATCTACTGATCATAACTCTAACCGGGATTAGTCCTTTCTTCCTTTCGTGACAAAGAGAAGACGCCGGTAAAAGTTTTTCTTTCACTTCGATTCTTCAAATAATTTGCTTGCCTCCAATGAAGCTGAGATATTAGCAAAACTCTGGACCGCAGGTGTTTGCGGTGGGGAACGAATGCGCTATTGTCCTTTCAGGTGAGTAACGCGTTCACGACCACACCATGCGGGTCCTTCGTTTTGCCTGTCTCTCAGATAATTTGTTTGCCCTTATCGTCTCATGTCAAGCCTCAGTATTATATAAACGCACATGAGTACACCTCCTCGGTTTCTCCGTTCTCTCGATCTATACTTCAGTAAAAAGAACTCTTAAGGTGTTCTAACTGATTTCTTGAGCATCCAATCCATGAATTAGGAAATTCTACTTGAACAGAAAGAAGATTTTAAATACATCAATTGAGAGTTATGCTGTCGGTCATTCTATTCTCGCAATGAATTCAAGCACAATAGATGAGGTAACGCAGATTCCTAAACCTTAATTTCAAACATAAATATCTGTGTGCAAAACACTTGAGCACTTGGATGGGCCACTAGTTTAACACCAGGACGATGGTTGATCCTAGTACTGGTTCACTCTTAGCCGGGTTTCCTAATGGAAACGCCGGACTCCTCAACTTGGGAAGCCCTGCTGACCCGACATTCACGAACACCTCCCAGTCACAATGAGGCGGTAAATCGTTGGGAAGTGTCCAAAACAATAAGCCGTTACCAGGCAAATACCTTTCTCCCTGTTATATATGTTCATTTATAACATCATGGTAGAATAATATTCTCTAGAGTTTACAATTGTATGTTAAAACAGTGTTGCTTATTCCAGTTCTTGAAATTCCAGGGTCACAATAACTTTCTAGACTGCTCAGCTTACATGAGGTTGTAATGGTGAACTTTTATTCGGCTAACGTTTCAGTGCGTTCTCCTTCATCGGAGTCTGAATTATCCAAGTCGATTCTCCACAGCCGACTCACGATGCGGGCCTTCGCGGTGGTGCACCATCGAATATTCTAGAGTGGAGCACTCTTCGAGTGAAGCATCTCACTCGATAACACTCGTGTAACCGCTGTAATCGCTTAACAGTTAATGGTAGTATAAATGATAGAGATAATTGGGAGCGGATAATGCACAGTGTGAATCATTTTTCAATCGAATCCAACGAACATCAGGAGTGTGGTGAGTCAACGTAGTTACTCTTTATGGGTGAAAGTGGCTTAGCAAGGTCTAAGGCTAAGGCAAGCATGAGGAGCCATGTCGCCTAACATCAATGCCTATGGAAGATTCTATACTTAAACTAACTTCTCATCTTCAGTTGAATGTACGTGCGGTTTTTGGAACACCGACAGAATGGATTTGTATGAACCACTTGGGGATCAGAACAATATTGTTGATGCGCCACCAATATCTTCAAAACAGAAAGAGACACCAGAAGCAAAAGTTGTGCCTTCAAAAGTAGAACCACGAAGTAGGTACGTTTATAAATGGTTAGTTCAGCTGAAATGCTTTCCAAATGTAGGTATTTTTCATTCAAAGGCAGAACTTGACTCATTATAGAGGACGCGGTGTTCTTCAACGTGGGACAAAACTTGAATTACCGTAAGATCTATGCTTTTTGAGCTATTGCGAGGCTGCTAACTTGTATTTTAATGATCGTTGGATTTGGATGGGTCGATTTCGGCTACACCACGTTCGAAGTTGTTCTCGTTTTTGAGGATTAAACCACCTTTACGTTGCTTACATAGGATGATGAATGTTTCACTGAACTGAATAGCTTCAAAGCCATCGAAAATCAAAATACGTGTTAATAGCCTCATGCCAGCTTGGAAAGGAGTTCTAAATACGTTTAATATGAGTTGGTTAAATGTGATGTTAATCGAAAGTTGGTCTTCTGAATTGAAAAAAAAAGTTTGTTTCTATGCCCCTCATCACGAGCACGGTGCTAGTTCGATTCCGCTCTGGGCCAACCAAGCCTCTCATCCGTTCGAGGTCGGGAAATTGCTACTAGAATTCTCTGGGAAAAATTCGCCCTCTGCAATCCAACTGCGAACGCTCCAGTCCAGCTGTCTCAGGACTCCTGGGAAAATTGACTCGACCAGCATTCTACGACATTCAGGATGAAATGGAAATCCTTAAGCAGCAATCGAAGCCACACGTAAAGTTGGAAGATCTTCATGGACAATGGGTGCGAGGAAACGAATTGAATGTGAGAAATGCTGGGATCCGCACAGTAGGCGTGAACACGGGTCAAAATAAAAAATTTTTGAAATTTAGAGATGGTTCTGTGCTTCCTCGTGTAATGCACGAAAACTAGTATTCAAATATTTCACTTCAAAATCCTACACCTTACTTTAAAGCCTACAGCTGCTGCGAATAAATGGAATTGTACTGGGTTAAACGTTAACAATCGCTTTTTTTGTTGATCAAAGTGGGAAAGTGGAAACTTCAAATCAGAATACGAAAGGAATAAATTTTCTGAATTGCTAGTGAGATTAGTAACATAAGCATAATGGAAAGAATTAGTGATATGCAGCAGCTGCTGGGACCCTTGAGCGGATTGTCATGAACCACAATAATCTTGACAGGTAAGGCCTTACACCGAGAAGATAAACGCCATCATAAACGCTTAACTACTTTAACAGGTAGACGTGAGTGAATTTGCACTTATACATGAATGTGCGAATGGAATGCTGCGAGTTGATATCAACTCATTTCTTTTGTGGTCGTTTATTATACCGTGAAGAAATTTTTTATTGCACTTTATGTTTTCGATCGATAGCTTATCCAATGCATACTATTTTATTAGGCGACGAACTTGGAAAACTATTCAGTGCCTCTGACAAATTACAAAAACTGCTTACCGGACGAGTTCATTTTGTGGGAGAGATATTGTTGTTGGCGCAGAGAGCATCGACCATAGAGACACTTGCCGTTCAGAGGGTGGTGGGGAGCGTAGATTTTTCTGTTGTATTCCAACACTGAAATTCGACATCTGGGGAGTCTTCTGCGACGATAAAATGTTAAATAACCTTTCGATTTCTCTGGGTGAATTGTAGAGCACAGTTGTGTACTGCGCGTCACCCGAACTATTTGTCTGTAAAAGGGCTACGTGTTCAATAGTGTGTTCCCACATAATCCTTTGCTTTAAACTCTTATTGGTATAACTTGTTATATTGGTTTATTCGTGCTGTAAGCATCGTGCCAAACAGATGCATTTTTACAAAAATCTAAATTCTAAGCAAGCCTAAGTAGACCTGGATCTTGAATTAATCACAAGAAGATTTTAAATACATTGCTACAGTAAACTTTCCTAAGCGTTTACCCCGCCAGTTCTGTCGGGACTTAGGTTGCCCTTTTCTCAGCTTCTGGTGGATAACTTAGTTTGGAAGCAATTCTCGGTCTTTCTTGCATGAGCCAACAAGGTGGATCTTCTTCTTGAGTAGTCTTTCAGGTCAGAACACACTCGTATACCAGTCATTTTCCTTATTCCAAAAAATCGTCAGTAGGTTTCATTAGTACAATACAGAAGGGGCGGCGGCACTTCTCATAGCGGTGCTATTTGGCCGGCGTGAATTCGTATCAGCCCACAGCGAGCGCGCTGAAAAATAAGCATCCAATAGGTACATTAGCTAAACCTATTTATCTGGTGGACTCAGTAAGAATGAAATATTCGGAAATTAGCCAGCGATCTCTTAATAAACGACAGAAAAGAGCAGATTTACTCGAAAACGAGGTTGGAACTAAAAGTTGACCTCTTTTTTTAAACTTCATATTAAGGCGAACACACACAAACCTGGTTATTGCTCTATAAAGGAGAATAATAAAATTTATTCGACTACTTATGGTGAAGGAGTTCTAATGTAGTTCAGTTCCAGACAAAAGCAATGCAAAAGAGCTTAAACGAAAAACTGTGGGACCAAAAACGAAGTCAACATCAAGAACATCTGAGACGGGAAGAAGTAAGGAGAAATTAAAGAAAGGTGTAAGTTCTACCGAACACATGATTATAGTACCGTCAAGGAACATCAAATTATCTTATATTGCCTTTGTGCAAACCATGACAAACTATAATATGGGATGAAATCCATAATCCCAGACGAAAGCGGTGAGGAAGAGGATCATACTGCACACGTTACAAACTTGGAGTGCAATGATTCAAGTTCGCGAAGAGTAGCATAACGTTCTAGGATTTTCCTGGAAGAA